GAAGTTACGTCCGATAGCGTCTAACGACGTCGATGGTGCACCGTGGTCGGGACTGAAGGAGAGAGAACGCGCCGAGGGCTCGCGGATAAGGGACGCTCGCTGAATGTAAATGTACCGTGAAATCTGCGGTATCAACGTGCACGATTTTTACCGAATTCGACCACCGTTGAAACTTACACGACGTTACTTGGTCATGGATGAAATATCAAACACTACGAAATACATATCGTAAATAACAATCGTACTCTTTCTTCTCGCTGCACGCTTCAACGGTACTATAACCTGATTCTCGAAGAAAGGGATCTGACATATACCGTTAGTCATAATAGTTGCCCCTCCTGCCACGATCACTTCGGACTGATGAGATTCGGATGTTCGGAGTGGGGCAGATAGCTACTACAGGAACATCACTGTATTTCGAAATGATTTTCTTTGGAAACAGACCATACTACGGTTTATAGTCTGCGGCACAATGTACTCGAGTCGCAGAAAAATGATCATACACCTTGCAATCATTAAGATAGCTTGTAATATTTCACACAAAGTCGGAGCCTTCGATTGATCACACGTATACCGGGTGACTATGGAATACGTAAATAGTTTCCGCAGCGAGCCACAGTCCAAACAGTTTGAAAAGCACTGTTCGGAGGTCTAGGTTAAGTTAATTTCGATTCTGAGCGGTTTTATCACGACGCGGCACGTAAAGACGCGTGTTACGCTCCTAAGACTGTTAACGTTGTCTCGCCGGTAGCATACTGGTGACTACCGTTTCCGTGGTGTCGACAGGATTTTACACGAAAACCATACGAAACATTGACAACGATCGATGTTCACCTGTTGGCTCGTGAAAAACTGATCAATGAAATCACATGCACGAAATTAGGTTAACCGTTCGCATCGACGGTACGGTACGTCAACGACACGTGTTTCACGCGGCAAGGTAAGAAGGGTCTCGATCGTGGCTTTCTCTCAAGGAGCCCGTTGTCGATCTCGTTTACATCATCGTTAACGGCACAAGGCGTCCGATACGTCAGGTAAACAACGAGATTCTACCCCACCCCCCGTCGATAAGATAGGAGAGCCCGGACCAAGAACCCAGTCCAGGGAAAGAAATAAAAACGGGCTGGAACAAAGGCCGTTCTCCTTTTTCCCGCGACCTCGATTTTTAAGCAAGACTCTTTATTCAGCTTACGGAGCAGCAATTATAACCGCGTAGCGAAGAGCCACTCTGAAAGAGTGCACGCGACGACGGCGAAACGAACGGAAAGAAAGGGACCGGGTCCGTGTGCTCGTCTTGCGGCATTGTGCCGATAAGGTTGTCTCGCTGGTCGCGTACAATTAAATCTCGCACGAAACGGAGAAGCGGCGGGGGAGCGTGTGGCCGTTATCGTTTCAAACGCGGAAGAGATGTTCCGCGCATTTAAATGGCTTTCCGCGAGCTCTTCCGTTGGCGGAAGCTTAACAGTTGAAAGCCCAGTTCGAAAACAACGATAGGGACGAACAAATGTGTCCACTCGAATCGTTTCCCCTCGCGCGAGTACGTTCGAACGAGAGATGCAGAGAGACAGAGCGAGATAGACTGATAAAACAGAATCCCTTCTTCCCGACGACAGTAACCGAATTCCGATCGAAGGGATCACAGCGAGTAGATACTAGACACGGTTCGGGAAAAAACGTGTGAACCGGGGAGAGTCGCGGGTGAACGCGATACCTTGATCAGAAGGTATAGAGCCAGCCGGTTGTCGCACGAGAATGCCTAACCAATACGCGAGAACGACGGGGTAACGCCCGCGCACAGATATCGTAGCTGGTTCCGCACCGGGACGAGCCTAGGAGCTCCATGACCGCGTGTCACGGGAACGGATGGCCCCCGGGCCCCGAGGCCCGGTGCCGGCGAGGCCGCGAGCACGAGGGCGCCTCCTGCGGTGGCTCCTCCGTCGCGCACGTTTTCTCTCTATGAGTGGAGTCTGGCAATAAAAAGAAAGAAAAAGTATGTTCCTGAAAGCCGAAACCCGAGGACGGGAGGAGCAACGCCGTTATCACCTACTATGCACGCCGGCCGGCCGCTGTGCATACACTGAGGCACTGGATTCGAGCGACGAGACTCGGCTGACGGTTCAAGCTCGGCCAGCTTCGGCACTCGTCGCCGCGGCTCGGCCTCGCTCGTCACCTGGCCACGCTTCCCGGTCAGACTACCCGAACCGAACCACCTACCGAGAGTGGTTCTCACTACGCGTCGAGCTCTCGCCGTGAGTAGCCGTCGCGCTGTGCTGTGACCGACGCCATATCGTTTCGCTCGTTGCTTCAATACCTTTCTTCTCTCTCTATCTCACTCACTCACTCACTCACTCTCTCTCTCTTTCTCTTTCTCTCTCGCGCTGGCTCTCTCCTCCAGGAGAGAGGGAACACGTACGGCAAGGAGAGAAGATCAATAACGGATCCCTCCCTCCCTTCCTCCTGTTCTCGTCGCGCGTACGCGACACGGCCGTCGCGTAGCCCCACCGACGACGACGTATTTACACACGCACGTCCTGCGAGTCGTGCCAGCTTTACTCTCTTCTCCACCGGGGACCTCCGCCCGCCCCTTCGAAGGGAGGGGGTGACTGCTCGAAGGATACGGCCAGGAAGGATTTCGCGGTCGTAAGATACGTGTAAAAGATGGCCTCATTTATTGATCCTTTA